TTCAAAAGAGGGTGCTAGTGAAATTAAATTTGAAAAATTAGTTGATGTCTCACATATAGTCTGTATCCTCTTTTTTTGTTCCCTTTCCTCATTCATTACACCCTACCTCTTCCAGCTCACTCCAAACTCCTGTTTCTGAACATTTTAAGGACCTAACCTATTAGAACTGCTAGCCTTAAATGACAACTGTCTAGAGTATTATCACTGCTCAGGAGTAAACTGAAGAGTTTCACTGGTGGATATGCAGGGAAGACATCTTTGTTCAGATGCCCATATGGGGCCTGGTGCCTAGACTAACACAAAGAATCCAAACTGACTATGTACAACTGCCGCCTCTCCCTCCTCACATTTGTAAGTGACCTCGGTCCCCCAGAGTGCTTGGTCATCATGGTAGTGATGACATAGATTGAAAAACCTAGACTGAGAAATTCAGACAAGAAAACTGGGACAAGAACTTACGCTTCTTTCTCAGAGACCATCATACATGGTAGCACTTTTCTTTGCAAGGGTTGGTTTCATATGGGGTGCCCCTTGCACATAACATATCCTAAACATGTATGTATTCCTTCATGCCTGTCCTTGAGACTTTGGCTGTGTGCCAGGCCCTGGATTGGATAAGAGGAGGAAGACATAACCCTGGCTGCCAGGAACTCACAGTTCAGTGAGCCAGACAGACCCAAACACACACGAAAGCAATGGGATAATACTGTCAAGGACTAGGGGTTGTCTGAGTGTTAGAGGAGCTCATTCATGGTGGTGGCGAGTTCTGCCTCATGGTAGCAAGCCTCAGAGGCTTTGAAGAAAGTGTGGTCTAGAAACTGAGAACGGAAGAACAGTGAGTGTCTGCCACGGAGATAGGGTGAGAGAGAAAGGAGAGAGAGGCCCCCTGGCCAGAGCCACCAAAGCGAGTCCACAGGCTTTTTTCCGTATAGGACCAAGTGGTAAACATTTCGGGCGTTAGAGGGTCACGCCATCTCTGTTACAGGTACTCACTCAGCTCCATTCCAGGATGTGACCCGCCACAGGCAACGGTCAAACAGAGTGGCCTTTGTTGTAATAAAGCTTTATTGACAAGATAGCCCATGACTGGATTTGACTGAACAAGGGTCGGAGCCCCCAGGGCCTCTGTCAGATCTCTGGCATGGAGCAGCACTGCAGGTTTAGCGGGGCACTAGTGGCTGGGCAGGCAGGGAAGACCCCGGCACCAAAGACTGCTTGCTATAGCATGAGGTGAATTCCGTATCTGAGGAGTCTTAGAGCAAGGTGTCTGTCTACCCTACCATTCCTGACTTCGCCAGCACCATGCAAACCCAATCCACGTCTCATGTGTTTCCAAACAAACGCTAAGGCTAAGAACCCCCTCTGTTGTCAGGGTTTAAAGTCAAAGGCAACATTATTTTTTGTGTGTGGAATGTGGAGAATTTGAACTATACAACCTGTAGTCCCTTCCAGCTTTGATGCTCGGCAGTTCATCCAGAGTCTTTTTTTTTTCCTTTTCTTAAATAATAGAAAGAGGCACATAAGGGAGAAACGTAGGAACTAGAAGATGAAGAGTGAATCCAGATACCGAATAGCATTTCAAATCCCTCCCCTACTCCCCAACGAGACACTGCAGCTCTAAAGCCAATAGACATGCCAGGAAGAAGGACTGGTAAGCAGTACTAATGGCTATTAATACTAACAGCAGCTAACATTTACAAGCACTTACTATGAACCATCTGCTGGGCTGAGCTTATTACATACATCAGCTCATTTAATCTCAACAATAACCCTATGAGGTATGGACTGTTACTAGATTTTACAGGGGACAAAAATGAGGCTTGAAAGGCTTCCCCGGCTGGCTCAAGGTCACGAAGCAGAGCTGAGATTTAAACCCAGGTCTATGAATCCAAAGTTGTTATAGGTATTCCTTCCCTACCCAGCAGCCATGAGGGTTCCCCTAAACACCCCTATAGGAACTATCTCTTAACTTGGGTTCTGGCCCACACAAACTGTGGGCCCCACATACTCTCACATGCCTCCTGATATGATAAGCAGGACCCTTGGGCAGCTGTATTCTGGAAATGTCATTCTTTCTGTGTCATCCCTGCTCTTAACCCTGGACCTTGTTGATCCAGTAGAATGAGGTGTTCTACCAGAAACGGACAGGTAAGCTGACAGATGGGAGATTCCTCCACTCCACTGCATTCTGGAATGTACCTTCTAAGCACTGAGATGCCGGGGTGGCGTTTCTCTGTGCTGGTCATTGGATGCCATGGGGAGACCCAGACCCCTCTCCTGCCTGGGACCACTGGGCTCCAGCCTCACAAACAGGGAAGGTGGGCACTAGTTGGTTGGGGCTTACTCTGTTCTGGGATTCCAGGCCTTTAGGTACAGGGTATCTAGACTTTTGTATTTCTGTATTAGTGGTTCAGGTCAACAATTGGGAGTTGATTAGCATACATTCTGAGTATTTTTCCATAAAGTCAAAGTGATTGTCCTTTTGCTGTAAGCAAACGGGACAACATAGGACATCTTCTGGAGGTTTAATATTCTGTAGGTTGAGAGGGGGGAGGGTATGGTAGGGGTTACACACACCCCCAGTGTGTTCTTCAAGCCGTCAGGTCCAGGACTCGAACCACACAGTGAGACCCAGACCCCTCTCCTGCCTGGGACCACTGGGCTCCAGCCTCACAAACAGGGAAGGTGGGCACTAGTTGGTTGGGGCTTACTCTGTTCTGGGATTCCAGGCCTTTAGGTACAGGGTATCTAGACTTTTGTATTTCTGTATTAGTGGTTCAGGTCAACAATTGGGAGTTGATTAGCATACATTCTGAGTATTTTTCCATAAAGTCAAAGTGATTGTCCTTTTGCTGTAAGCAAACGGGACAACATAGGACATCTTCTGGAGGTTTAATATTCTGTAGGTTGAGAGGGGGGAGGGTATGGTAGGGGTTACACACACCCCCAGTGTGTTCTTCAAGCCGTCAGGTCCAGGACTCGAACCACACAGTCAACCATGTGGTATCCAGCCACCTTAACCACTGTACCACCAGCTGGCCCTCTGTAGGTGGGGATTTTTGCCATCCTATTAATGCTTCCCTTCAAGTCATGGTAACCTAATAGAAGATGGCTCTCATGGAGATAGATTTTACAACTAAACCACAAAGTGAATCAGACATGTGCAATGTAGGATATTTCAGTACAAGAGGAACCCAACTGAGCGCCTCCAGCACCTTACGGGAGGGCTGGGGCTGGGGTGCTCTCGTCATTAAGTGCGCACTACCTGCCGGATGCTAGGCATGCATGACCCATGAATCCATTGCACCCACCAGCCTTCTCTCACAAGGCTCGTAAGGTAAGTATAATTTTTATCCACTTCACAGGTTAGAAAACTAAGGCTCAGCAACCCTAAGCCTCCCAAGGTCACACAGCCACTTAGAAGAGTCACCAGGACTCAAGGCCGAGTACCTCTGACTCCCACACCAGTGCTTTTCCACTACACCACACAGGCTCCAAGTGAGAGCATGGATGTGGCTTCTTAGGAAGCACCTGTGAACGCCTACTGCTGGGAACTCCCCTGAGGAGTCCATTGTTTCCTGGGGAAATGAGCCAAGAGCAGGGGGTTACATTAGATCCTCTGTACTACTTTGCCTATGGGCACAGGAATCTGAAATGAGAAAAATTATGCCTCGCCCTAATAATAAAACATCAGAGGCCTTAAAAACTACTCCTCTTCTCCAACCTTAGCCACATCAGCAGAACTTTCTCAGCCATTCATCATCCTCGGTTTCATTCTGGCCAAGAACCAACCCCAGCTCACACTTATGTCCTATGCGCCCCAGATCACCACCCCTAAGGCTTCCAGCAGAAGCCCAAAGTCTGTGAGAACTTAAGCTTTGCAGAAGCTGAACTGCACTTCTCCATAATGCCCAGGATGCACAAGCTCCATCCTCTAAAGCCAGGTTTGAATTTCAAAATCCAGAGGCAAGCAGGGACATTCCTAAATCCTGTCACCCTCTGTACCACTGGGTCACAGTCTCGAGAGCACAAATAAACGAGCAGGCAGGAATGTCTGTGGCCCCATGCGCCGATCACAGGAGAGCTGTTCGCAGTCGGTGAGACCCACACGACTTGCGAGTCAGCACGGGGACTAGTGGGGTTTTAACACCTTTTAACCGAAAGCACCTCATCTATTTCGAAAGTGTGGCCTAGGCTTGTGATGTAGGATATTTCCAGCGAGACTTCTGCTCGTCATGATGTGCCTATCTGTGGCTGAATGAAAAACAAGGTGACTCAGGATGCCCAGGATGCTGGAGAAGAAAGCCTGAAGCTGGACATTTTATGCCCGGTGGATTTCCCTAGCACCCGACCACCTCTTCAATAGAAATGTACGGTGACACGTGGCATCCTAGAATGCGAGCTCTGTCACTGGTGATTTATGTGAGACGAGGATAAGTTAATGGCTGGGATACATCTTATTCATCCCCACAGAAGGAGCATCCACGTGGGTGTTCACATGGACATGGAGATGAACATCCTTCTAGAAAGATGTGGCCTTCAGAAAGGTCTTTGGGCTAAGAATCTGGTCCCTGGGGATTACAAAGAGCAAAATCCAGCACTTAAATGTTTTGACTTCCTCTTCCATGTCATAAGGAAGCCACAATACCATTGGATAAATCATACATCTTTTTTCTTTAGAGATATTTCTGCTATAGGGAGCGTGCTTTTGCCAGAGAGACAGAGACAGAAAGTAAGAAATCACCCTCCATGGTGATGGCCATGCCACAATCCCTTCTCCAGTCTCCTCTCAGGATTTTGGGCATGCACGCACATGCACCTGCTGTGAGTTTGAAGCTGCTGGGTCCGGGACTCAAACCACAGTCAACTATGTGGGAGTCCAGCAATGTACCCATGACACTTTCTGCTGGCCCCGCCATTAGATAAGTCTTTAAAAAGTAGGAAAAGCAGAAAAGACCGATCTCTTTTTCCTCTTGGCTTCTTCCCTCCTCCCCCTTTAGGCACAGAGTACCAAGACATTGAGACTGAGAAAACCTGCCCCGAGTCACATTCACCTTCAGAAGACTCCTTTGCGAGAAGCTGAGGGCCTCACCCTCTTCCTCTTCCTGCAGAGAACAGCCCACCACTACCCACAGACCTCCAGGCCTGCCTTAGCGCGCTCTGTCTTGCCCAAGAACCCAAAGGTCCCTGTGTGGAGCATCCAGCCTGTGTGTGATCCTTTGAGGCCCCAAGCACAGGCCTGTGACGAGGACTGAGGAGGCGACTTGTGGTCAGGCATCCTCCAAATGGCCCTCGGAGTAGGCATTTTCCCCAGGTCCCTAAAGAGTAAATTGACCTGGTGAGCAAATCCCTTTCCGCCTCATCCCTCCTCTGGCTTCTGTGGGGGTGGCTTGCTGACACGCTTTAGAAAATCCCCAGGTCTCCAACGGCGCTAACGAAATCAGCCAACGCTGGGTTTTCAGAGAAGGGGGTTTAAAAAAAAAAAAAAAAAACCATCGCCCTGTTGCACAGAATAGAGGGGGGGAAAGCACATACTCAATAGATTTTGAGTGTGGTATTCTGTATTTTTGCAGCTTATATTTTCCAGATGAGCGATTTAGAAATATGTGATATAAAGTACATACTGTACGTTTGCTGGAAATTATATTAAAAGCACTATTTTAATTCTTTCCCTGTCTCATGCTGTAATCTCTGTTGTCTTTCTCTCTTGCATCTTCAGCTAGAATGATCCTAAACGATTCTTAATGAGAGCATTTCTGGCATGGTGTGTTCTACATTTATGAGCTCTGAGATGTTCTAAAGATCAAGAGCCTTAGAGCCAATGCAGACCTGAGATCAGACCTCCACAGAGCACTTACTACTGTGTGATATTGATCAAGTGATCTCATTTCTCTGGGCCCTAGTGCCATCATCTTTCAAATGGAAATATTAACACTTGCTTTACCCACCTCTGATACGACTTAAATGAGACCCCACGTGAGGGTGCTGAGGTCAGTGTCTAGCTCACAAGTGGGCATTGCTCATCACCTCCTCAGCATCTGGCTGGACTTAGATGCTCTGCCAACACTGACACAGCGCCTAGGGGTGCATCTGGTGCTCTGTGCTGTCCTGGCCTGGTTCTCCTTTCTGATTCTCCTGTCTGTAAAGCCTTGGAGAGCCGGGAATGGCTACATTTTAGCCCAACTCCACCACCCGGTGTGAGCATCACATTGAGTGGACCCTCAATATACAAAGGAATGACAATAGACAGTCTCACCTACCATTGCCTGTGAGACTTTTGCTGTGGTCCCACTCCTCAGAGGCAGCTACATTTGCCCTTCTTTTTTTAGATCCTCAGACCCAGCCACAAGCCTTATCCCCTGGTTGGAGCTCCAGGGCTGGCCCCTACTTCCCCAGACTGCTTCCTAATAGACTGGAGTCACCTCCACCTTCTTATTCATTCTCTGGCTAGACTTCTACCCTCTACGAACAGCTTGGTCTGGTTGATCCCTGCCTCTGACATGCATCTTAGTGTCTGTCCCCCTGCCTTACTCTACTGAGCAATCCAGAGCTCTGGGAACTGACACTTGCCTCAATCCTGCCTGTGCTTTGTCTTTTGAATGAAAGACCTAGGCACTCCTCACAGGGCTCCAGCCCTCACAGCTGACTCACTTTCTTTATCCCCTCCTGGTTCTAGTTCGTCCTGTAGCTAATAACAGAAATATCTGAGTCTGAGTAATTTAAGAGACTAGAGGTCTACTTGGCACACCATTTGGGAGGCTGAGAAATTCAAGATGGCGCCAATATCTGGGGAAGGTCTTTCTGCTTGACAATGGGTAGGGTGGAAGTTGACAGCAGAACACAGCAGAACGGGTCATGTCTGACTTTATCATGCCCCTCTCTTATAAATCCACCAGGACTGCATCACAGGACACCCCCCCCCATGCCTTATCACTGCCCAAAGGCCCCACCTTTCAACACCACAACCGGATTAAGTCTCCACACAATCAACACTGTTATAGTGGCAAACCCATTTTTTAAAGGTTTTTGCCATAATGCACAGGTGCTCCCCAGAGAGAGTCAGAGAGAGGGAAAGTGAGAAATCACCCCCCCCTCCCTGAGGGGAATGGCCATACCACAATCACTTCTTCATTTTTCTCTCAGGATTTTGGGCAAATATACATACACACACACACACACACCTGATATGACTTTGAAGCTGTCGGGTCCAGGAATCAAACCATGATCAGCCAAATGGGAATCCAGTGCCTAAACCACCATGCCACTTGCTGGCCTCAGGCTCTCCAAATTTTACCAGATGAATGTTGGGGGGACACATTCAAACCACAGCTCCCTTCCAGTCTAGAGCTTGCCCTCTATAGATCAGTCATCCTTTGCAGTTGAGTTCAACCCAGATCAGAGCCTGTCAGACTAATCCTACTTTAAGTCTACTCCCACCTCAACCCTGAGTTTTTTTTCTTTTACTCTTTAGTCTCAGGGATTCTGGCAAAAATGAGCTTGCCTTTCTTTAAGGTCTGGTTACCAGCCTGTTGATGCCTGGGGTGGGGGGTGGGGGGGGACTCTTCCTTAGCCTGGTCCTGTTATTTATGTGATTGTTTATTTTCTGTAAAGCAACATGATTTATTCTCTCTGGCATAAAAATCCCAAGAAAATGCAATTTCAACATTCTCTGTCCTGACGGGAGAAGATGCTGACGCAGCTGATAAGTGGTTAGTGTCGCCTCCTAAGGAGCTGGCTTTTGTCCGCACTGAAAATTCAGACGGGGCACAGGACGCAGGGACAGGCTACCTCAGTGCTTTCACTCCCCAGTTGTACACTTGTTCTTATCACCAGTCCGACTTCTTTTCCCTGGCTCCTTTTCCTCCCATAGAAAGAGTCGACTTAAAATTCTCTCTCCATTTTATCTCCACCTCACAAAGACGTATTTCTTATTTGGGGTCAAGGTACTCATTCTTTCATAGTCAGCGGAGTCCATGAGGCATCTTTCTTCATAGGTTGTTTGACCAACTCAGGGAGAATAGACTGTCTGGCTTATTCCCCAAATGCCATCTCTTCCAAATGTCCTATCAGCCACCATAGGCCACTGGAATTGTCAATTACATACACAACTGGCTCATCCTGATCTAGATCTAAGAATCCAGTTATACTACTTTCCCAGTCTTTATGAAAGGGCTGATCTGATCATGGACACAAGCATTTGGTTCAACCAAAAGGCTGGGTCTTCGGAAAAGTCATGACACATTTTCACAGAGAAATACTTAGTGACTTTTCCAATGACCCAATAAAAAAAGGTTTTTTTTTTTTTTTTTTTTTTTTAAGGATTTTGTCGTAGGCACTTGCCAGAGTAAGAAGGAGGGAAGGGGGGAAAGAGAGAGCAGGAGAAATGTAAAAAGTCACCCCTGGGAGGGGATGGCCTTATGGCCTTATGGCAATCCCCTCTCCATTTTCCTCTGGGGATTTCGGGCATACACACACACGCCCGGCATGACTTTCAAGTCACTGGGTCCGGAACTTGAACCACAGCATTGGCTGTGTGGGATCCAGTACTTTTAATCACCAAAACGCTCTTTTTAAGACCCATATTATCAATTCAGAACCACTCCAGCTTCTGTTTACAAAGTTTCTCTTTATGCTTTGTGATGCTTGGGAGGACCATCTACGTTTAACAGGCAGGGCAAATACTGGCTTGCTTCAGAATGCCTCTGGCAGTATCTTAACCTTCCTGGTTAACATATGTCCTGCTATGACAGACTTCCATATGTACTTACAAGGAGGGCATTTCATATCCTCCCAGATCCCACTTCCCAGTTCCTCAAAAGAAAATCCAAGAGTGACATAAAGGAGTTGACTGATCTGGAACACAAGAAGAGTGACAATTGAGCATATCTGTGACCACTAATATAGAAAAGGGACCCAGGGACTCAAAGTCAAGATGGCAGCAGCCTCTGGTCTCCTTTGGAGAGGAAACATTTTCCTCCAAGGCGTCTGTGTGTCACACATCGCTAGGAAGCTCGCCGTAAGACACAGGCCTGCCTGAAACTTCCCAATGAAATGGAAGTAGGAAGCTTCCGCCCCCAGATTCTGCAGCCTCAGCCTAGAGGCTGGCTCCTTTCCTGCCACAGATGCTTACTTGTTTTTTTAAAGAGAGAGATTTTTGCTATAGGGCTCATGCACTCACCAGAGAGACAGACACAGAGAGAAAGCAAAAAATCACCCCCGAGGGGAGATGGCCACCACTCCACAACCTCTTCACTTTCCTCCCAGGGTTTTAGGCAGGCACACATGAGTTCTACGCCTTCTGGGTCCAGGACTCAAACCACAGTCAACTACGGGGGAGTCCAGGGACATAACTTTTATGGCATCTGCTGGTCCCTCAGATGCTTACTCTGTCCTTCATTTTACCCTTCCATTTCTCTGAGTGGTGTTCTGTACTGAGGCGAACATATTTCCATAGTCAATTCACACACCATGTATGAAGGGCTTCAAAAGGTTCATGGAAAAAGAGAAATGACGTACAGGTTCATTTTGGTGCAAAATAACCATTGAAATCCATGGATATTTTACAGCTTATCTATTTCATACATGACAGAGAGAAAGAGAGAGGTACCCCATAACAGGGTCTTCACATCGTGTTCCATCCCCAGTCTCGGCTGGCCCAGATCACATGCTTGCACACCCTTTGTGTGATCAGGGAGGTTCCGAGAGGCGAACTCAGGACCTTTTCCATTTGAGTGCAGTTGTGTTACCACTATGCCATTACCTGGCCCCAGTGTACAGTTTTTACATAATTTGCATTTTCAATTAACTTTTGGAAGACTCCTTTATAGGCTTAAAAAAAAAAAAAAAGTCCAAAGAAAATAGCAGTTGCTTCCATTGTTTTTGAAATCATCATTGCCGGGGCTGGCAGGTGGTGTGTGGGGTTTGGGGGCTTGAACTCTCAAATGGCAGACCTTAGTTCAAGTCCTGGATCTGATGGCTTGTTCTCTCTCTCTCTTTCTCTCTATCTCTGTCTCTCTCTCCTCCTCCCTCCTCTGGTCAAACTATAGAATGAGTTAATGAATGAATGAATGAATAAAGTTAAATAAAATAATTCTTTAAGAAAAAAATAATTGCTTTACCCTTCAATTTTATGCAAATGGTTACATATTACCGTGCAATGCTACAAAAAGTGACAATCTTAAGTAGGATGGTGGAGACACATGGCAAGTGTGGCAGTGCACGTGGCTCTGGAAGAATGATATTACCTTCCGTCTTTTTCTCACGTGCTATCAACAGATCAGTGATGATTCAGAAGGAAGCTCTGGGCTGGGATGAGGTGGGAAGGTGGTGAACACTGGAGGCCCTCAGTCAGGCTTGGTCCCACCCTCTACTTCATGGCATCCTAGACTCTGGAAATACGGACCCCAGGAACATGGGTGAGCACACATGCACACATAACCAGTATGATTTTCAAGCTACTGGGTCTGGGACTTGAACCACTGATTCCATCTGTGTGTAATCCGGCCAAAAGTAGGCTCATATTTCAAATGGATGTTTGAGCGGTGGTCTTCAAAAAGTGCATGGAGGTGGCATGATGATTTAGGTGCTGGACCTATGGTTCAAGTCCTGAGCCTGGCAACTTGCTTTCTCACTTTCCCTCTCTCTGGTTAAATTTTTAAAATAATAATAA